AAGAGGGGCTCACACTGTGGCTTCCATGGGTGCCCCTGGCTCGGGTGACTGCAGGGGTTCACCATGAAGCGGGACGGCTGAGCGTGGGGTGCAGACGCATCTCATCAGCAGAGTGGCAGGGCTGGAGTAGCCCCATAACTATATTGCGCCTGTTAGCGTGGGGCTCCACAGCTCTGGACATGTACATCCTGCCTCGGGGCCACGCCTTTCAAAACCCTAGGATGGAGCCCAGAACCCACGGTGTCCCCTGCCCCAAATTATCCTGGCTGATGCCACGAACAGGGTCCTACATCTCCGCTGGCCGGGATAGCTCGGTCCTCCCATTCTCTGCTCCACAGAGCCAAGTGCTGAGGGACAGTCTCATGGCCCCTTCTTCCTGGGCGGAGAAAGAGCCTCTCCCTTGGCTTCGCCTGCACCCTGGCTGCTCAGAATGGAGCTGGACAGTGGAATCATTGATGGAGAAGCAACAAGACTTGCTGGGAGATGGAGCGTGGGGACTGAGGGGAGGAGTCAGAATGCCTTTGCAAGGTTTGGCTTAGGTACTGGAGGCCAGAAGGATAGAGGTCCATACACCTCAGGTGAGGAGGACTGGGCCGGGGACAGACCCAGGGAAGCCACGGCATTGAGGACTTTGCGATGTGCGAACTCTGACACAGCTATTGGACACGCCCAGACTTGCTAAACTGCACCTGACCTCCCACATACACTGTGTTTCCCCCACACTGGAATTCTGCACATGCTCTTTCCTGTCTCTGGAATTCCTTCTCCTCCTCTCTGTCAACCACTCCCAGCTCTGACCTCAGAGAACAGATCAGGAAGAGAAGAGCCAAGGAGAATAAGGAACATTTGTCTAGCTGCCCCCTGCCCCAGGATACAGCCCCCACTTCCACTCCCTAGGGGGTAGACAGGCCTTGGGGGCTGGAGGAAGGGCCAGTGGGGCCCCTTCTGGACCAAGGTGGATGTAGGGATGGGTATCGAAGGATGGATGGCAGGACAGATGAAAGGAAGGAGGGAGAGAGGGAGGGAGAGAGGGTGGGAGGGGGGATGTGAGGGAGGGAGGTAGATGGTCATTCAAAGGCAGTTTCTGCAGCCAGCTGTTGTTTGCACGTTACTGCTCAGTGACACCCAGTTCTCCCGATGTGGCTGCTGCCTCTCCACCCTCTCTGGGCTCTGGTCACTGACCGTGGCCTAAGACAGTGCCCCTGTCAGTTGTGTTTTTGTCCTGGCCCAGGTCCCAGTCCCTGATTGTCCTCCTGTCCGCCAGCCCTTTCCAGTGCCGTATAGGATTGAAAGTGACACTCCTGCACCAGTACTGAGAGGTAGAAGCCCAACAGCCCTGCCACCGTCCCCTTCCTCATCAGGAAGAAAGCTGCTGACTTCATCCAGCCCCTCAGAAATCCTCTCTAGCCACCATCAGATAATATCCTGGGCATCAGTCCAGCCCAGGGTCCATTCAAACTTCGGGGCTGCAGTTCAGCACGTAGTTCACTGGGCTTCTGCTCCCAGCTGCTGTACCAGAGGCATTGAATGTCGCCTCATGCATTAACCATGCACAGGAGAGGACTGCAGGAGCTTTATTCCCCACCCACCCACCTGTGGCCCCATCTCGCCACCATAACAGGCCATCTGGATTGACACCTTGATTGATTACTAGGGTTCCGTTGCTGGGGGAGCAGCCACAAGTGTTCCACCCGTCATCATCTACCAGGCCTGCAGCTTGTCACACTGGCTTGTTGTGGGGAGGGTTGACACCTTGTTTTATGGGCAGATGTCTCCTGCTGGGATGGCATCTGCCTACTCAAAGACCCAGTCCAAATCCAACAGATGGAGCTTTGGCAAAAAGAGTCAGAATTCAGCAGTTTCAAGAAAATTGCCCGAGAAGATCTCCCCTGGGCTGTTTCCAAGGGTGGAAATGCACACATCAGCCAGGGTGCCATGAAACTCAGCTGTGGAAGGAAGTGCTGGTGGTGGCAGAGGGCTGGCACCATGGTGAGGAGACCAGAACCTCAGGTGATAAAGCTTCCTCTTTCCAAGGCCAGCAGTCGGAGAAGTGACACCCCACTGCGCTCACAGCCTTCAGAGAGAGAGAATCGTTCTCAATTCGGAATTTTGGTTCAAGGGCTGAAGACGGTAGCCTTGTTTACAGAGAGGAGTAAGAGGAGGAGGCACCCATTTTTGAGTTCCTGTTTTTTCATGTCCATTACCCATCACACACTTTACCTCATGGACTCTTTGCCAGGGCATTACCAGGCAGGCATTTCTGCAGTCGCTTGTCAGCTGAGGGCATAAGCTCAGAGCAGTGATGTAGCTTTCATATGGCAAACCCAAGTTGTCAAATTGTGAAATCTGTCCCAAATTTACTGGTTTACAGGTTTTCACCAGCCCATTTCAGGAATATGAGAAACTCAAGCCTCTCTTGAAAGGATCTTAACTTATATTTAAACAAAATTAGAACAAGAAACTTGAGAACAAGTATCATTAGATAAATTAGCTTGAGTAATCTATTTAATTAAGGGCCCAATAGGGCATCTATCTAGAGATCCAGAGGGGAACAATGACTGTGCTTAAATATACACTATGTTGAATCAACTGATACCAGTGGGTGATTTCACCTTAAATCCAGAAATACCTAAGAGATCTCTGGTCAGCCCCTTCACTGCAGACGAGCAAAACCAAATCCCACAGGGACAGTCATAATGGTCAGGGAGAGAACTAGGTAAGCTTTTTACTAGACAGGTGGTTTGTGTTCTGGTGGCCTACAAGGTCCTTCTCTGGCATTTGGTCATTATTTAGCTAAATGTGTGTATTTAAGAAAGAAAGGATTGGGTGGATTCTGCCCTTGCGGGGTTTCCGGGCCCCATTCCTAGTCCATATTCATCCATCACAGAAGTGGTACACAGGTAATTGAATATGTATAATGTCACATTTGGGGAATTAAATGACCATGTGACCCATTATTTTCATTAAAATATTTTTGAGTATTTATTCTCAGTTTAAGTCATATTAATTTGACACTTGCTACCCAGCAGCACTATGAAATAAATGGTGTAATTTCCAGTGCTCTAAAAAACTGGGTTTAGCAAACACAAATAACGTGCCCCAAATCATACTCCCAGAACCACCACCTGACCCCCTATTGGCTGATGGTGCGTTAGAGAAGTACATTTTAGGACCTCATGAGCCAGGTGACTTGTCCAAGGTGGGCTGTAACCTCAGGGCCTCCCTGAATCTGTCATCAGGATGACCACACCACAACACTGAAGCCCCCTGAGGCTCCATGGGGAATGTGAGACCATGTGGAATCGGATGTGAGCACTGCAGATGCACATACCCCAGGACTCCTGAGAACGTATGTAAAGAAACATACAAAGAGGCCCCTCCCAGCACTGTTTGTAACTGCCCAAAGTTGAAAGCAACCTATATATCCATCAGCAGGAGGATGAATGAATAGATCATGATTCATTCATGCAATGGAATATTATACACCAGATAAAAATAAACGAACAAGATCTAACAAGTATCAGTGAGTACAAAAATTGTTGAATGTGCAGAATCACATAGATAAATGTCACTCACACAATGGTCTAAATTGTTTGTTTGATGGATCCACACATAGCAGTAAAGTATTAAGTGTAGAAAATTTTACACACCAACTTTTTTTTAGTACTTGGGATTTCACTCAAGCCTTCTGTACTGAGCTACATCCCAGCCATTTATTTTTTATTTTGAGACAGGGTCTTGGTAAGTCACTAAGTTGCCCAAACTGGGTTCAAACTTTCCATCTAATACTCCTGCTTCAGCCTCCCAGAGTGCTGGGAGATGCTGGGTCCCAGCACTATGGCACCACATCCAACTCACACCAAGTTTTAGAATAAAACTTGCTCTGGGGAGGAGGGAGGAGGATAAAATTGGAGACGTATTCAAAAGACACTGTAATTATGTCTATAATTTTTTATACCTAAAACTAATGTGGTAAATGTTAGCATTTGTTAAATCTACTGGTGAGTGGCTGAGTATTAATTTTATACTTTTTGTATATTTAAAGTAGTTCACAATTAAAGAAAACTATGGAACGGCAAACAAATGTGAAACATCATTACTCTATTCATTGCTGCTGCTGCTGCCATCCTGGACCCTGGCAACAGTACTTATCTTCAGGTGGGACCCTCAGCTGGACAGGAGCTGCCTGATTTGCACTCAGGGTGGTCACAAGCATTAAACAGGGAGTGTCTGCAGAGGCCTTGGACGGTGACTGCTTCCTTCCTCTCTCCCTACATTGCTGACTAATCTCAAGGGAGATTTCAGGAACTGTGCATGAAAGAAACGGTCCCAGTACCCAAATAAGTGAAATGGTACAGTTAGATAAATGAGGTGAGGCGCGCATGAGCCCTGGGGGTGGTGTTCAATAGCAGCGACCCTGGGAGCTGAGCCTGGGTTTGCATAAAAAAGCAAACTGGAAATACAGGAAAAGCCGGTCTCTCTTGCTTGTTCACTCGCTCTTGCTGTCAGTCTCTTTCTCTCGCTGGTACAGTATTCGGGCTTGAACCCAGGGCCTCTGCACTGAGTGGCATGCCTCTAACCCCTGCACTCTGGGAGGCTGAGGCAGGAGGATCACAGGTTTGGGCCTCAGAAACTTAGCAATACCCTTCTCAAAATAAAAAAGAAAGGGTTAGGAATGCAGCACAAGGCCATTCTTAATGTTATCTCAGATTGACTTGCTTGCATTTTTCTGCATCTTCCAAACTTGCTACAACAAAGACGCATTAATATAAAGCAATAAAGTAAACAATTGATATCCCAGCTCAGAATCTTAGCAACACCTTTATGTATTTAAGAGCTATTTAGTGAGTGCCTGTTACTACCATTTACACTGCCATGTGATTCTAATCAATGTCAATACAGTACTTAATGACAGAGCACAAATCTGAAATTGTGTTTTGCAGCAAAGAAAAACTACAGCCTGCTCAGTACGGTATTAAGTTTAAATCTCTTTTTTTCAGGTCTTTGAAAATCATTCATATACATAGCAAATGCCCTGTAACTGGAGCAGCCCATTCATCAATCCTTGGCTAAGTGATGTGAAATCCTGTGTTCTCAGCCTGTCTCGGCAAAAGGGCAAACAGAACTCAGACCCCTGACTGGTCTTCATTTGCAAGGACCGTACACCCAGTCATACACCATACACCATGAGCAGCTCTCATTCCAATCCAGGTAATTGAGATTAATGGCTTGTTTAATAGGGATTAATAACTTGCCAGAAATCTCATGGGTTTGAGAATGAAGTTGAAGTAGCTGGCAGTGCACTAGGCCAGCCAAGCCCTGGCCTCTGTTCACTTCCGGAGCGGGGGGCTGTGAGGGGAATCTAGCCTCCAGGAAGAGGTAGGGTTTGGGGGTTGGGGAGGTAAGGTAGAGCTGCCAGATTAGTTGGCTTTCAATGCTTCTCTGTAGCCTTCAAGCCGGGGTGCAGGGCCCAAGACTGCCCCCCAGGGCCCAGACTCTGGGTAGCCCTGAGTGTCTCCCACTTCTGGAAGTCTCTAGGTTTCTTGGTTCTTGACCCAGGCTGTCGTGTGGAGGAAGCAGTGAGCTGCTGCTGGACACTTCAAGAATGGCATTGGTAATGTGGCCTGGACACAGTGACTATCCAGATGCCGGCAGTTTGGACTTTGATATGAACACAATTATAAAGAATTGTTTTTTTAAAAAAGCCTATGATTTGGGCTGAAATCCTGCCAAGATAGTCCAGTCCCAGGGCTGGGTTTTTCTAAAAAAGAAAACCTTGGGAAGTCAAAATCCTATACCAGCTGGCAAGGCCCTGTGGTCCCGACTCCTCCCAAGGACCAGGCACATCCTCTGGGCTGCTCACACTGTCCACACCCCTCCACCCGCCAGAGCCTTTCCCACGCAGTGCTAATTCTGTCTGGACGTCACCCCGCCCAGCGCCCACCCTCGCCCTGGCCAGCCCTGGCCTTTTTGTTTTCTTTCTTTTTTAAATTGTAACACTGGGAATTGAACCCAGAGCCTCAGACATGCTAGGCAGGTACTTTATCACTGAGTTATACTCCAGCCTTTTAAAAATTTTTATTCTGAGAGACGGTCTTACCAAGCTGCCCAGGCTGGTCAGCTTGCAATCTTCCTGGCTCAGCCTTCCAGGGTGCTGGGATTACAGGCGTGTGCACCACACCCAGCTAAACCTGCTGATTTATTTTAGTGGGCCATTTTGTGCTACATAAATGGTGTGGTCACACAGTCCCAGACAAGACTTGGGACTGGGAAACATCCACCACAGGAGAATGAGGTTTTTGTGAGTGCTATATAATTTGGAGGTTTCTTTAAAGAAAAAAAATAATAATAATTCTATAAATCTTACAGAAAAACATGACATAGAAGCATCTTATCTAGGCTACTCTCAAAAGTAAGGGGTCCTGCAGCATAAGCTTCATGACTCCATCCCACCAGAGTGAGGGCAGGGCTCTGGAGACTGGGTGAGGCAGAGGGGCCTTCTTCTCTAGAGAACCCTCGCCCCTGCCCTTCCCTGTCCTAAGCACAGCCCTGTTATGGGACGTTAGAGGTGCAGGGACAAACCTCATAGAGTCATGGGCCCCTGCATGGCCCTCCAAACCCCATCTCCCCACAGTCCCTGCTGCCTTGTCTGTTAGGGGGAGATAAAGATTTTGGCACAGGCCCTGGGCACAGCTCAGTGCTACGCTAAATAAATCCCCAGAGCAATCTTCCTCTCTCTGCCCAGCTCTCTCCTCCCCACCCTCTGCCCTGTGCATTCTAGCTACCTTGGTCTCAGTTAACCCTTAGCTGTGTTTTCTCAGTTCAGGGAAGCCAGTGACCCTGTTTGGGTTCCCCTCCCTGTGCTGTGGCCTGGACACTCTCCAGACTGGAAGCTGGGACACCTTGGGCCCTTTCTCTCAGGCATCTCTGTCCTGAGCTGCTTGGTGTCCAGTGTCTGAAGACCACTGGTTCCTTTGTTTGGTCTGGTTTTTGTTTCTTTGTGTGGATTTTGTGGGGAGGGGCAGTTACTAATTCAGTGCCTATTGCTCCGTTTTGGCCAGTAGGACTCCACCTGTCTTCAGGAACTTGTCAGCCAAATGTAAGACTTAAGAACCAGAGGTTGCATGTCAGTCATTTGAATAAAAATGGTGTTGCACAAAACAGCAGCTAGTTTAGCTGGTAACTTAATCACAAGAGTGTTTTTTCCTCAAGATGATTGACTGTTGTGGCCCAGTTTGCAGCAGGAGTTCTTTATGTACATGTCCTCTTTCATCACACAGAGTAGTGAAAGACTCTCATTTGGGGGCCGAGATTTCATACAGCTAATAATTTCACTGTTTGTGCAAGGATGATCTTAACTGAAATGGCCTTTTCCCCGTCTTTCCTGTGAGCACATAGCAGCACAGCAAGATCAAGTCCACTAGGACAGTTTGTGCCTCCAGCCTCGATTTCTGTGAAGCTGTTGGCAGGCTGATACCCTTCCTTGCTTTTGAACCAACAGTGCACAGTTTGCTATGAAAATAGTTTTGACCTCTCATTTCCCCCCAAAAAGAGTCTCAGGGATAGCTGGGGTCTGGGAAAGGAAGGCGGCCAGTGCTGAGGAGAACCATCCTGGGTACCCCCACCACACTGCCTTATGGGCTTCAGACCCCAGAGAAGCAGCCTGCTGGAAGTGTGTCACAGCTTTCTTGGTCCGTGTCTCCTTTTTGAAAGTGGGTTTTCGCATTACTGGCTCCCCCACCCCACATATACTGGGTGGGGTTTGTCTTGTCCTTGCTCTGCTTCCTCTTCTGGAGGCAGGACTTGAGGGTCCCGTGTCAACTGCTCCCAGAATCCCTGCAGAGGAATCTCTGGCTGCTGCTCATGACTTCAGCTCATTCCTGCTGAGCAGACTGACTGAGACAGCAGCGATGGCCAGCCCTTCTCGGTTTCTTGTTCTGTGCTAAGGACCTGCACCCATCGGCCCGTGTGCTCTGTACCAGCCTTGAGGGGAGCAGCCTGGTCCTGTCTCAACTCAATCTCTTCCCAGGCAGGACCCAGCCTTGCCAAAATGCTTTTGTGTGTGTGTGTGTGTGTGTGTGTGTGTGTTTACTTTAGGGTTCTTTCTTTTTTCACTTTTATGTGTTTTTTTAATTACAAAGTAATTCATCCTAGGAAGTAATAAATTATCTATTTTCTTTCCTGCATTTAAATTTCCTGAGTTTGAAAGTGATAAAAAAATTTTTTTTAATTTCCCAGAGCTGATAGTTGTTTTCCTGTTCTTTTGAAGATAAGATACGTAATCCAACATAAGGAGTTTATTTACAGATGACAGATACCCCACCACCACCACCACCAGTGTCCTCTCAGACCATCCTAAGTGTAAGAATGGAGATTAAGTCAGAGCTGGCATGCCTCTGCGAAGCCGTCCCTGAGGTCTGGCCAGCACTTCCTCCTGTGAGCTTCTCCCGCCTACACTAGTCCAAGCACCTGCTGTCCCCAAACAAGCCTTCTGCTTCTGAAAACAAGGACCTTCTCCCAGGCTCTGTGCCAATGCAGCCCTGGAGTGTATTGTCCTGTACCTGGCAGGGGCTCAGTAAATGTCTGAGGAGCTGCTGGATTGATGATGTAGCAGATGCCAGTTCACCCGTTTTCCTGAGTCTCCTGAACAGTTAAAATCTTTGTGTGTGGCCAGCAGACAGTGATTTTGTCCAAATGTTGGGTCCAGGGTCTTAAAGGCAGCATGGCACTGACAGATGTCTTGTCTCTAATGAACACATGAGCTCATTTTACAGAACAGCTGAAGCCCTGAGCTGGCTTTCTGTGAGGTGTTCCTTTGCCCTGAAAGAGGACCTGCGTACTCCTTCCCTCTCCACCTCCCTCCTTCCCTCCAGAAATACCCGAGAAGAGGCCCGAGGCAGAAGGCAGAGACACAGAGGATGCACTGTGGTGTCACGATGTGCGACCTGATTGGAGTCTAGAAATGCACCGTGGACGCAGGTCATTGGCATCTTGGTGGTCAGTGGTCTGCCACTGTCCTCCAGGGTGGGCTCGGAGATAGAATTTGCCTTAGCGAAGCCCGGGGCAGAAGGGCCACCCAGGCCAGCCCACTGCGAACTTGCAGAACAAAAAGGTTTCTTCTCATTTCCTTTTTTCAGAAATTATCCTTCCACAAAGAAAAATAGTTTCCAATTTTTCCTAATTATATAAATAATAAATACTCAACTTTTAAAAAATTCAGATAACATAAAAAGTTCAAGAAAATAAAAATCATCTCCTGAGGTCCCACCCCACTGAGTTGTCACCATTAATAATTTAGTGACCATCATCATTGCATACATCATCATAAACATCTGCAGACACACACACACACACACACACACTAAAGGAATGTCATTTGTGTTGCTTAATCATGGACATGTGAATAGTGAATAGACTGGTTTGGTCTGGTCTGGTTTGATCTGGTCTGTAGAGGTCTAGACTGATCTAGACTGCTCTGCCGTGTTCTGGTCTGGTTGGTTGGCCTTAACCTCCATTCCACTTCCTTGATGTGTATCCTCTAACACCTTTTTTCATGCTCAGCCAAACAAAGGGTATTGCATATGTCACACAAATAGACCTTGGCCGTACACATTTCTCTGCACCCTGTCTTTCTTATTTCACTGACTCCAGGCATCCCTCTAAGTCAGCCAGTGTAGATGTGACACACTCTCTTTAATGGCTGCCCGATATTCCATGCGTCCACCCTGCTTGTTCACTTATTTGCCCACTAAGAAGCTGTGGCCTTGCTCGCCGTGTTTAGCCACCACGCACATGTTTCAGCCAATGCCAGGCTGCTGCATTAGCCTCTGAGAACAGCATTCGCGTAACTGTGCTCCCTGAAGCCCAGGCTGCTATCAGCACCCTTAGATGGCCAGGCCTTATATGCTGAGATTTCATGTCTACAAGAGTGAGGTTGCTCGGTCAGGGATTAGGTGCACTCTTAACTTGTAACAGGTATTTCACATTGCATTCTTCTCCTCAAAAAAAAGAAAAAAAAATTGAGGGGCACAGATTTAGCTCAGTGGTTCTGCTGCCTGCTTTGCAAGCACAAGGTCCCAAGTTCAATCCCCGATACCAAAAAAAAAAACATTTTAAGTTGACTATTTAAATTTCCCTGCATAAGCTCTCAACCATTTCCCAGTTCCCTCCATCTACAGTATCTCATTATTTATTTTTCATTTTC